TCTCGTTTTGTATTTTTTACTTTTCATTTATTTATTTAGGTTTCATACAGAGTTCTCGTTTTAATATGGTTAATCTGACCATCAAATTTAAGCAAATGTTACATGATATTTGTAGTAGATGATCAAACACGTGACTGTGAATTATACGTAGCAAAAATAAACTAATTATTTAAATAGAACGATCTGGAAGAAATGTTCCAAGTTATGAACACTTCCTTCTCCGTATCCAATAAACATTACCAATTTGGTTATTTCTTCATTATCTACGTCTATGTAACAAACATAAATCATTTGTATTTACTACCTTTTTAAAAACACGATTCGTATTTATTACTTCAAAATGGATATTGAAATTGTTTTTAGTCAACTCAACTATGGATATGGAATACATGTGTGTTATGTAAAGTCTAAAAACAAAGAAAAAAAAACAGTAAACAGAAGAACAGTGAGTTACTGTGTTGACTTGGGGACCATATATTTCCCAAACAAAGGTATATTTAGTCACCCTGTATTGTACTTGTTATTTGGCTCGTTATCTACATAATCTCTAATAGTAAAAGAATATATGTTGAAAAACTATTGCTATATAAAACTTGCGAATCACATAGCTAGCTATTATGTGATTTTATTCCTAACGTTTTTTTTTCTTGTCTTTGTCCAATATAATAATATAAAAAAACAATGAAGCCTTTTCCATTATTATTCATGGCATTACACATGTCTAGGGAGAATTTATTTCAAGTCATTTCCCTAAGGAAAAACATGGAGCTAAAACTTAAAATGTTAAAAATTTATATAGTCACAGTTAAAGTTGAAGTGAATACGGGACAGTAGTTGATTGGACTAGTTAGTATCTTTTATTTTTATGTGTGTGCACTTTAGTATCTTTAATCTTTCATGTCATTTTCAACATGACTCAGTTCAAATTCACCTACAGTTGAGTTTAAAGTGGTATGTACGTTCCCACTAGGATATGAAAATTAAAAAATGTCGTGGTATAAGTAAAGCCAAGTAAAAATATTAGTTTAATCAAACTAGAAAAAAAAAAAACTTTGGTTCGTTTGAATTGACTAGTATGTCAACTTAATAGTTGAATAACGAAATAGCTGAATAATAAATTAACAGAATCAATAGAGTGAATAAACTGAAAACTGAATAAACTAAAAACGTTAAATACCTAGTATATATTAGATGAATAAATTTTTCTCAAAACTAGTTATAAATTTAAAACGTGTGAGATGAATTGAAAAATAACGTATAAATTTTCACTTTTTATTATTTAGTGCTTAATATTGTGAATAGTATGCATTTAGTAGAATCACTATTTCAAAACGTGAAAAAATTACATACTATTCAATCCCTTCAATTTGGTTACAAATTCGATCAGATTTTTTTTTAAACGTTTAATCTGCATTTAGCGAATTACATTCCATTTAATAAAAAGTCTGAGTTATCCAGTTTTTTATTAAGTTGACTTAGTTAGATTGATTTGTTCGTTATGAAAAGAAGAAGAAATAGTTGATTTAGTTTGATTAAGTTGAAATACCACCTTATCTTTTAATTATCATGTCAAATAATGAATGACTGGTGTAGACATGTGTTATGTGTAGCCAAAGTTTTTGGGTGTCGACGATTGCCTAGATGGTGGATTGTGGTGAAGATTGATGTGATCCCAAAAGGGACCAAACATGTTTTATTTTTCTTATGATCTCTTTATCTCCATTCTCTCTTATTTTGTCTTTTTATTTTATTTTTTGCTCAGTTAGTTCATTTCATTCGTTGTTTCTTTCGTCACTGCAGACCCATCCTCCTCGGTATTTCTTTTTATGCGTCTAGTTCAAATATTTTTTATTTATAATTTTTTGTTTATATATTTTGCCATTTCCATGCTGACTTCCAAAATCCAAACAACAACCAAAAAGAAATCCCTGTTTTTTTCTTCCTCATTCAACGAATTAGATCTATATATTCCCTTAGCCCCTTTTGTGTTGGTATTAAGAGGATACTCTTGCGATTTGATACACCCAATTAGGACACCCAATTATCAATTATTAAATTTCCTCTTTTCACTAAATGCAAAAACTTGAGTCCATTTCCTTCCTTTTTCATTCAGTTGAAAACAATGCCCTTCTATGTGTTGATTCACTTAAAATAAAAGTCACATTAGCACAGTATTCGAAATTTAATATTGAAATAATGAATTTGTTGAAAATTTTATAAAAAACCTACACACAGTAGAACTTCTATAAATTAATATTTGATAAATTAATAATTACTATAAATTAATAATTTTTGTTGGTTTCAAGTCGAGCCAGTGTAAAAATTAGCAAATTTTGATAAAATAATAAGATAATAATTTTTTTGAAACTTCTATGTAAAAATATAGTCTCAATAATTAGATAAATTAATAATTATACATTTAAGCATACATAAAATAATATAATATAGTAAAATATAATTATATTATTATTTTAAATTTATAAAAATTGTTTGACTTATTTTTCAAATTCACTGATATGATATTTTCTGAATAAATTTTATATTATTGAAATATTTTTTTTCTTTTTGACAAATATTTTGAATTTGAACTGAAATATCTCTCTATAAATTAATAAAATATTAATTTCTCTATAAATTAATAACTCTATAAATTTATAAATTTTTGAAGTCCCAATATTATTAATTTATAGAAGTTTTACTGTACTTTTAAAATTGAATTGGAATGGTTTTTTTATTAAGACGGCAAAAATTGTAAGTAATATCAATACTTTATTACTCTAGTGAAACTATAACCTATTATAAATCTATTAGTATGTAAAAGAAAATTAATTTTCTCCACTTACTGCGTCATAATTTGTGGCTAATATGGAGGTAACACGTGTTATTCTCTCTAATTTAATGCTATTAAATAAATTAAATGTATAATTTTACAAACTATTTAGAGAACATGAAGAGTTTTTTTTTATAACTCGTGGATAACATATTTGTGTAAATGTTGGATAGTAATATAGATTTCTAGTTATTCAAAAGAAACTATTGAGTATTTAATTTATTTTAGTATAATTCTTCATTTTAGTGTTTTTTGTTAAAATGTATTATTTATTCGCTTCTAATATTACCAATAGTGACATATAACAAATGTGAAACAATCATATTTGCTTTCACGAAATTATAACGATATACAAATTTAAAATAGCTGGAAGAAAAATATGCGCCTTACATACAAATATTAACCTACTTAAACGCTAAATTAAATTGTTTCACACTATATGTTCAAGATTTTTCACACTGTATGCTCAAGATAACTTTATAGTTTCTAGAGACTGCACAAACAGTTACTTTTTTATTATTGTTGAATGATACTTTCATTAAATTTTAAAGTACTACAGTAAAAAGGAAAATTAAGTAATTTAATTCGTTGATTTAACTGGTTTTGGATTTTAGGTGAAAATTCCAAGCTATGAAACAAATAGGTTGGGTACAACTAGACACTCGTTGCCATCGTAGACCAACTCTAGTTAAAAGTGGGTGGGCCCAATAGAGTCCAACTCTTCGTTAAGCTTCTTCTGTGGTCCGTGTTATTTCGTGGGTCCCACACTAGACCGCACCGACCCCGAACACCTTATCCGTGAACCGGATTGTAACCGGACATTCGGACCGGATCTCTTATAGATTGCTTTTACACCTTATCGACCAATTTGGCGGCGCCATGTACTTTGCGTTTCTTTTTTCCTTTTTCTAGTATTCCGAAAATATAGCTTGCTTTTTAACATCTCCCTCACATTCGTACACTCTGGCACGGTAAAAATTCAAGCATTAACTGAATGGTTAATTTTCAAACTTTTTTTTATTTTTTTCTCTTTTCGTTATGAATTATCAAACTCTTATATATTTGATTCTTCGATTTTCTAACCTCTAAGAATCGAAACTCACCTTTTGTAGTAATCATATTTTTGGGCCAAATGTGTTAGGTCATATGTTTTTTTTATAACAATTAAAACAATATTTATGTGTCAAAAAATATTGGTAACCAATTCATGATGCTCACACAACGATTTCAAGTATAAATAAAATAAAATAAAATTCTTAAAATATGTATACAAAGTTAATAATTTGATGGTAGACGCATTCACGCATTATGCATACAAGTCAGGAGTCACTCACTCTGCCACCTACCTGGCCACCACCACTTCGAATTTTCTTATACTGGTTAACTTTTTTTATTTGTTAATTAAATAACTTACCACGTTAATAATGTGAGTCTCTATATAATTAACAAAAGTTCATAACTCACTTAAATATCACTAGAAGCAGTTGAGTTGCGTTCCAAAAGTGAAAAATCCAAATGGCTGAGACCAGTTTATGTAAAGATTCAGATTAAAAAGTAGCTCCCGTGGGAGTTGTTATACCAAGTCCAATATGCATCTAGTGTGCATAGTTTATAGTTCATAATATATTTGTAAACTAACTTTAATTGGTTGATAAAAAAATCTTATATATTGTCAAACAAAAGCCATTAGTGCGTAACAAATTTATATATTGTGGTCCAGTCTTATGAAAAGTTCACCTTATGAGTTTAAGGACCATAATTCGAGTTATTCTATTGTAATTCTAACCATAATTAATCATTATAAATTGGTATAAACAGTAAAAAAATAACCGTTTTGTTTTTTCACAAGTCGTCACGCTAGTATGGGATCTTTTGGTCTGAAATTCCCATATTACTCAAAGAAAAAAAAGTAACTATGACGTGAAGGAAAAAGTATTATTATTGCTACGCCATTATTAAAAAAAGGTAGTATTTTATTTTTAAAGTTTTCCTACATAAAATGATGAAAAGAAAGACGAGGACACTGACTCACGCGTTTCCGAGCTCTCTCAAGTAATTTTGGATTTATGGTCTGGCAAAAAAAAAAAAAAACAAAAAAAAAATCCAGATTTATAAAAGTTGCATCACTTTCCTTTTTATTAAAATATCTCTTTCGTGAAATTACGATTGGATGTCTTCTTCAGTCGCTGAGCCTGCCGGGATGATGAAGAAAAGCTACCGTCGTCAGAAATCTCAGGTTAAATTTTCTGTCCTTTATGACTTTAATGTCTGAAAAAAAAAGCTGAAAGATTTGGTCTGAATAAAAGGTATCTGAGTGTTGGATTACAGAGATTATGGGCTAAGCTGGTGATGAGAAAGTGGTTGAACATAAGTGCTAGAGATCCTGAGTACGGTGCCGATACTGAAGACGAATCCGAAAACGAAGACGTTGGAGAGGAGAACGAAGACTCCAGCTCCGACGATGATGGTCTGTTTCTTCTTTCTCTCTCTTGAAACACCGGTTCTTCTTTTCCGGTTTATCTAAGCTGTTTAAACCGGTTCAACAGATGGTGGAGAATCAAACACGCGAGAAAGAAGAGAATCGACTCAATCGAGGGTTTGTGAGAACGCGGAGGATGCTATCGCCGCCGCTTCCGCCACTGTAGACGCAGCCGCAGCTGCCGCGGAGTTTATTAGCAACGGTAATGCCGAATTGCATAGGTAGTTCTGAGATTCACTGTGGGGTGCTTCTGGATTTTATAATCTATTTCAAGAATCCCTTTGCTGAATTTCAATATTTTTTTTTTAGAAGAAATCAAACTTAAAAAAAATACTTTGAATACGAGTTTGTGAATCTTTTCTTTTTGGTGAGATCAGATGCTCCATTGAAGTTAAGGAGAAGGAATTCGGAAACACTAAGAGCACAGTACATTAACAACAAAGAAATAAGGTACAACAAATTTGATGATTATATTATTGTATTTTAATTTTTTTTTTATTTTTAGATATAGACATATAGTAGTAGTACTAGATAGATAGATTCGGATGTCATCGTGTTCTCTTTTTCAAATTTTGTTGTGTGAAAAGGAGACCTAACAAACATGTCGGAATTGAAAAAAAATATTGTGTACAGAGTATGTGTTGGTACGTGGAACGTTGGAGGAATATCACCGCCGTCTGATCTTGACATTGATGACTGGATCGAAATTAATCATCCTGCTGATATCTACGTTCTTGGGTAACCAACTTTTTTTTGACTTTTCCTTCAAACGACATGGACAAAACTACCTCTGTTCAATATGTTCTTATGAGAGAGATTTTAATATGTTTTTTTTTTTTGTTTGGTATGAAGTTTACAAGAGATTGTACCTTTGAATGCTGGAAACATTCTTGGAGCTGAAGACAATAGACCGGTGGCGAAATGGGAAGAAGTGATCAGAGAAGCATTGAACAGAGTTAGACCCAAAAACTCGGCGGTTAAGAGTTACAGTGATCCACCATCTCCGGGAAGATTCAAGCCTTTTGAGGAAACACACGATGTTATAGAGGAAGAAGTAGCTTACGAGACTGATAGCGACGCCGGGGTTGAGATTCACCCGATAGACGAGGAAGAAGAGGAAGAAGAAGAAAGCGAAACCCTCGGGGAGCTAAAGCATGACGGTGGAGTTATCGGCGAAGTCAACACCCTCGTTGACCCGAATTCCGGTTTGCCTGTTATTGAGATTAAGAGACAGTTCTCTTCTAAAAAGCTAGACAGACAAGTATGCTTACGTGTTGATAGCTTGGAGAAGAGGAACAACAACAACAACAACAACAACAACGAGGATTCCTCTGAAACCGGCATGAAAACGCTAAACCGGATGCTAAGTGGGAAAGAAAGGATCGGTTTGAGCTGGCCTGAGCCGCCTCTGAACATGTTAGGACCGACTTGCGTTCTCGATAGACAGCCTTCGATAAAGACAGCGAAGTCTTTAAAAACAGCAAAGTCTTTTAAAGCCTACAGTTCGTTCAAGTCCGTAGCCGGAAACAACATCGGGATTCCCCCGGAGGTATTGGCTTTAGCGGAAATGGACCTGAAGTTGCTTATGGAGAGGAAACGAAGACCGGCTTATGTGAGGCTAGTGAGTAAACAAATGGTCGGTGTTCTTTTGACCATTTGGGTTAAACGAAGCCTGCGCAAACACATTCAAAACGTTAGAGTCTCTACTGTTGGAGTTGGCATCATGGGATATATTGGTAACAAGGTACATCAAAAAAAATTTAGATAAAAATTCATCAAATCTTTTATGTTTCACAATGTTTTAACAAATTGTTTGTTGTTGTCTCTAGGGAGCTGTGTCTGTGAGTATGTCGATAAACCAGACGTTCTTCTGTTTCATTTGCACGCATTTGACTGCCGGAGAAAGAGAAGTTGATCAGATCAAGAGGAACGCCGATGTTCACGAGATACATAAACGAACAGTCTTTCACTCTGTCTCAGCTCTTGGACTTCCCAAGCTTATCTATGATCACGAGTCTGTCTTTTTCTCCTCTCTTTTCCTAATTGTTTTACTCAAAAATTCTATTCGTCTAACGTAAATTTGTTTTCACCTCTTTGCAGAAGAATCATATGGTTAGGAGATCTCAACTATCGGCTAAATTTATCGTATGAGAAAACCAGAGACCTCATTTCCAAGAAAGAATGGTCCCATTTACTTGAATATGACCAGGTAACAATATAGGATTTGGATCTTAAATATGATCTCTCATGTGGATTACACTACACAGCTCAACAATCACCAATCATAGCTATAGAGTTTACTCAAGTTGACACATTTGGTTTTTTTTTATTTCCCTATGAATATATATTATGTTGCAGCTGGTAAAAGAATACAAGAAAGGTCGAGCATTTGACGGATGGTCAGAAGGAACTCTACAATTTCCACCGACATATAAGTACCAAGCACATTCCGATGAGTACACCGGAAGCGACGGAAAGGGGACACGGAGGACACCAGCTTGGTGCGACAGAATACTATCTTACGGCAACGGGATGAGGTTGGTTCATTACCGGCGGACCGAACAGAATTTCTCAGATCATCGTCCGGTTACAGCGATATACCTGGCTGAAGTCGAGGTGTTTTCTGCGAGGAAGCTTCAGCGAGCGTTGACATTTACGGATGCGGAGATTGAAGACGAGGGACTTGTGGCCGTACTCGTTTGAAGAGAGCACAAGATACAAAGAAGAGACTGAGATTTGGTTGTACTTGTTGTTGGCTTGATCTTGCATATGAAGTATTGGCGAAAGAGACATTCTCTTTCTACGGATAGGTTTTAATCTCATGTCGTTACTGATGCATCGCACTGCGATACGTTCATATTCTTATAGTTTTTCTCCTTTTTTTTTCTTCTGTCGTCGGTTTATTACGGTTGTAAATTTAGTTGATATATATATATAATGAAATCAATAATAAATAATAACCTTTTACATCCATGATTTTTCTTATTGGTTCATGGAAACGAAACAGACAAAATGGCTCTCATAGTTTTTTTCGCTTTACTAAAAGGGCAAAATTATTGAGGGGACAAAAATAGAAATGCACCAGCCGGGAATCGAACCCGGGTCTGTACCGTGGCAGGGTACTATTCTACCACTAGACCACTGGTGCCTCATGTCATTCAACGGAATCTTTATTTATTTTTAACAAACGTATGTGTACTGCTTCGAAAGTTTACAAGCCTCTATACAAAAGGGAAGAAAAACACACAAACTGATGAAAGTATGTAACAATAGCAACATAGTCACCTAACTCTTTTTGCTTTTTCTTTTTATCTAACTGCAGAAACATTTAGAAGTTCAATTTTGTATATCGGCTTCAATGTGAATGTTCTTGATCCATCAAGGTGAATCCAGAAGCAAGGGCTTTCTAAGCCAGTACTGTTCAAATCTCTGCCTTGCATATTCCATGTAATCGAACTCAATCTTGTTCACATGCCCCTGCTTTGCATCAACAACAAACACACACTAGAGATTACTACAAAGTTCCATTATTTCAAGCTAAAAGTATTTTAAAGAGCTTAGAGAAAGAAGGGAAAGAGGGAACGAACCGAGATGATTCCCCATAAGCCCCAAAAGATATGATTTGCCAAAGTGTAGTTCTCTGCATCACTCATCAACCTCTCCACTTCTTCCTCACTTGTTGCATTCCCTGAGATTAACAAAAAGGAAGAATAGGGTTTGATATAAAAGAAGAGTTTTTTTTTTCTAATGTGAAGAAGTGACTAATGCTTCAAGAGGAAAAAAAACCTGTAGAGCCAAGGTATGTGCTAATGAACCTTCTCCGTTCTTCTTCTCCTGTTGGTTTATCATTTACAAACACACCCACAGGTTCAGACTCTAAACTACCCCGAGTAACGTATTAAGTAATTGCTTATATATACGGATCTGGACCTGGATATAGAGTGTAGTCCAGGACATGAGGAGTGTCTGAATGGTAATTAGCAGCCATTTCACAGAAGTGGTTCGCGATGTCATAAGCAATTGGGTTGAAACTCGAATACTCATAGTCCTGCAATAAAAATTCATACATCAGATTGTTGAAAACAGAGCATTTTCTTGATGGAGAGTTAAAGTTACGGCTCATAATAAAAGGCTTACTATGATGGTAATAGCGTTGGTTTCTTCATCAATCATGACGTTACCGTACTGAAGATCGTTGTGACAGAAACCGATCTCTTGATCGTCACGAGTCAACCTCTCTTCCAGCAAGTTGATTTCATCTCCCATAGCTTCCAAACGAAACTTATCAATCTCAATCGGTGAAGACAAGTTCTTGGCCTCCTTAAGCCAAGTCCTGGAAAAAAAAATCGACAAAAGGATTAGGAAGAAACATTTTGATGCTACGAAAGAAAATGAAATTTGTTTTCACTTACCTGAGTCTTTCCCAGAGTAGAATGTTCTTTGGACCAGGCATATCAAGCTTGTGAAACTCTCTTAGCTTCGCAGCGATGAAATCAGATGTTTCTTCTACACGGAGATCACCTGCAGAAAGAGTCTGGTGAACGGACCAAACCAACAGATCTCTGTCATATACACAAATCTCTCTCTCTATGTATTTTTTCCGATCATGAGATTTCTTGAAACACAAACAATAAAGCCTAAGACTTTGATTTGACTAAAAGTCTAAAACTATCTCCTCTGTTCTTCCATAGAGCCGAAAACAAAATCAATTCTAATTTCGGTTTTTTTTTTTTTGTTTTTGAAGAAACGAAAATGGAAAAAGAGAGATGATGATGATGAAGAGGAAGAAGAAGAAGACGTACTCTGGCGTGGATGAACTCTTCAAGGCGACCATCGGAGAAGCGGCCAAGGAGCTTAGGTCCATAACCATGGTGAGACATACACTCGAAGGTTTTGATTTCGTCGTTCCTGTTGAAGAAAAGGTCAACGCCGTCTCCGTAGATCCGAACAAGGACTTTCCGGTGGACATCTTCGCCGTTTAAGGTAGGCCAATTGATCTGATAAACCTCGTTCGTCATGGCTCCTTTTAACGGAACAACCTCAAGACGCTCAAGATCCTCGACTACGTCTCCCCAGCTCGAGCCTAGCGTCTGCAGAACGCGTTTCAGATCCTCCGGCGAAGAACAGCTCGGAATTAGACTACTCTTCGTCTTGATAGCCATTTTTTTTTTTGGTTGGAGATTGAGTTCCGAAATTGGATTACTCGAAGAAAAACAAAGAAAGATTTGAGATTCTGTTTGCAGGAAATAAAACAGAGGAAAAAAGGTGAAGAAGATTCGACGGGTATGAGATTCTCTGAGAGACAAGACTATCCACAAAAATCTTGGAGTCTATTTTTATGGAAAGAAATAATCTGGGAATTGAGATTTTGAACACGACGAAATTACGTTTCTGGGGAATTTAATATATATAGAATAATTGAAAAGTTAAAAAAAAAAAAAAAACCAGAACGATGGATGAAGAAAAGAAACGCGTAATTTCGCCGTTCGTCGTTTGTCCCGTGTGTGTGATTACGAATGGGATTTTTCTGCTGACGGAGTTTTTTAAAACGGTTATCGTGACCGACGGTTTTGTCGCACCCAATGAGGAATGAACACGTGGGAATTTATTGCCGAGTAAGTCAACGGCGTAACGAGACGGTCATTACCCTATCGTCAAAGTCAAATGAATGCATTTGGTGTGGGACAAGTCAACCGTTATCTCTCGCAGTAAATAATAATATCCCGAAATTATTGGAGATGTACAAAATTTTGTGTCAAGGACTAAATGAGTAATCACTCTGTTTCAAACAATAAATTTTGCATGCAAACAAAAAAGACTAATAAATTATTCTCATGCTGTGTGTTTTAATTAATTGTGATTAGGATTAAAATAGGCATTTGTGATATTAACAAATCGGAAGGAGTATTATATAGAAGATAGGTTAGTTGTGAGTTGTAACATGATCACACACTATTGTTAAAAGATTTGGTGTATCATCAATCATTATTATAGAAATGATTCAACTTAAGAAAGAAAGGGTTTTTCCATAATAAAAACAGAATACTACTTTTTACTTAAAAGTAGAGTACGCTCGCAAAAGAGAGAGAAAAACTCATGTCCATAAAAGTATTAACAAAATCTAAATGAAAGCTATGTATAACAGCAAAATTAGATTTGTACTTCAAAAGTTTTTTTTTATAATCTTTTAATTTACGTTTGACTTTGAAGTTTCATATGTGAACGCTTTTGTAATTTTACTTTAGAAAAACAATCGAACTCTTAATGAGCTTGAATTTTCTTCGGTAATAAGTACGTAGTGTGTCCCATATGACCTAGTTTTGGCGACAATGTTGCCCACTCGTGACGTAGTGCAAGACATTTAACATCCACGACGAGACAGGGACTGGGACACCAAACAAACATTGAATAAAAGATTTATTGGTACTAAGAGATGAGATCAAACACCAAAACCCAAAAATAAAACTCTATTTTTTTTTTCAAGTGTAATTCAAAGAACATGTTCAATCGTATGAAAATTATGGGGAAAGAAAAAAAAACTACACGAGGAATGAATTTAGATGTTGGGATTCTGGTTTTGCTTAGTAGACTCTAACGATTCGTGTTATTGTATAATACCTATAAAATCATACAGTTATTGATGACCTTCTAGAGGATTGTCTCTGCTTCCATAGGTTAAATCTCACTCTTCTTTGCAACAAAAAACACAGGAACGCTACAACCACCACAAGCGTAAACGCGATTCCGTTATTCGTCTCCATGAATAAGTGCGTTAGAAGCGGCTGACCGCAGCTACAGTCACAGATGCTTCTCAGTAGTTTGCCTCCGGAACTTGCTTCTGGGATGAGAATGAAATCAGCGGTCACAGCGTTTTCACCTAACCACACACTTGTTGTTCTCGGTTTGTATCCAGGAGACGACGCCGTCACTGCGAAACATAAATAACAAAACCTCTTTAAGATGAAAGGAAAAAAAAAACATCATATTTGTTATCCTCATCTTGCAACAGTGGGCAATGGTCTGTCCCACTTTTGTGATGAAAAAAAAAATGTTGCAATTTTGTAAGCATAAGATGAATCTAATCAAAGCTCGTAATAATTCAAATAGAGATTGCGAGTTACCTAAAGTCTACTACTTTAGCACTCGCAATAATAGTAATTTATGCTGAATGTGAGGAAAGAACATCAAACCTTCATAATTTTGTCCAGGTGCAAGCAAACGGTGGTAGTCTGCGTGAGCTTGATGAGCTTTAACCTGAAGAGCATAAGGATTACAATGAGTACCAAAGAACTAACAAGATTTTTTGAGAATTTGGAATAAGGAAATTTTAGTAAACAAAGGTTGATGATATGAATATACCGTATAGTTAATTCCCTTGACCACAACAAGCCCAGGAAGTGGCTTTCCCTGGTCTAACGAAAAGATCCGTCCATGAACTCCTGTCTAAGGTAAATAGTTGAGGGCGTAACTAAGTAAAAAGATGAAAAAAATGTTGGCTTCTGAAAAAAAAAGAAGGTTAATAAGGTATTACCTTCACTAGGCTTGCAACAAGATTCAGCATGCTCATTCTATTGTATTCCCAAATGGTGGGAAGCTGAATAAGAGATTTGAACTTTATCAGCTAGCTTTCTAACTATACAATGTACGGAGAAACAGTTAACACAAAGGAATATAAGATTAGACCTCTGAGGCACGAGGCCACTTGTTATCACTTATCTCCAGAGTCAATTCAAAGCATCCTCCATGTATGTAATTCCAATCCTGCATACCACCATATATTGGGTACCTGTAAGAGCGTTTTCCATAAAGCATTAGCCAATAAACTCATTTGATGGAGAAAGACAGAGGAAGTGGATCGGATGTGATACCAGGATGCTCCATTTGTGATTCCTTCCTCAAATTCTTTGCTCAAAGACATATTACGGTGAGATTTGCTATAAATACGTGCCAAGAACCGGAATGTCTCATCATCGGGACAAGCATAATAGTATTTCCTGCAAGAAAAGTGCAAGAAGAGCTACATCATTATTTTGCATTGCATAAACGACTGATCAAAAAGCAAAATCATTTTGAACAGAAGCAAACACCTCTTATCCTCCGTACCATCCCATGGAAAGTTTGCGACAAGGGCACCCTGTAACAAACCACGGTTTTAACAAATATTTTACTCAAATCGAATCATGATTTTAAGCTTAAAAAATGCCTGGAAAATTACCCCATGCAGAGTAGCCGACATTGTGAATCGTATATCTCTAATCCAAGTCATTACTGCCGTAGTTTCAGGTTGCCTCAAACTCAAGTCTTCATTTAAGGGAAAGAACTGCAACATTAGGTATGTGTTAAGCAAGCCAAACGTGACTAGTGAGACTATGAGTAACCAAAACCAACCAAGTTTCAACTACCACCATGCATATCACAAAATTCATGATTACTCGTATCATGGACGAAAATATATACTTATGAGTGTGAAAAGCACCATCAGACAAGTCACCTGGTCAGGGAAGTCGCGATTAAGATCGACGTTGTTTGCATTATTACGTTTCCTGACTGAAAATCCATCTGGATTCAGTGACGGCAATATATGAAGATGAACATTGTCTACAATCGTTTTAGCCTGCATACCAAGATAGATGATATCGGTATATGCGCAGAACATTTCTTTGGGGGAGGTTTATTTGAAGATGAGTGTTCAAATTTAATGGCCAAAGGCATGGTTGAATAAAGAATTAAAAATCACTTACCAATGGATCCTTCCCATAGTTATCACAAATCCAGTTTGCAAGACGTAATAACATCTCACGCCCTACAGGTTCATCTCCATGTACATTCCCAATGTACTGCGTCAACAGTTATTCAACTATTTAGATTCATAGAAAATAAAAGAACTACCAGCACAAATGAGTCATCTAGGCTTTAACCAGTGAAAATCATAACGGATAATAAAATATCTCAAAGATTGCATTGCATGAAAAAGCATTTTCTAACCTTGAACGCAGGTTCAGCCTCTATCTCTCCAGGCCTGTCTGAAATCTCTATGACCCACTAAGAAAGGCAAAGCAACAAACAAAGAAACAAACCAAGGCATTATCGATAGTGATCTCAAGACGCATTTTGTAAAACAAGAAGATTCGCTTTTGATAGCTAAGAGAGTGTATTACCAAAGGAAATCCATTGACACTCTTCCCGATGCTGAAAGCACGTTCCAGAAAACCCTCAAAGAGAGAAATGGAGAACAAAATCAACAACACCATAAATAGTCATACCACCAATTCAAAAATACTGACTTTTCCAAAAGCTTGTTCTGTACTGGCTACAAATCAGTTTCTCTTCTACACAAAGTGTCAGCCAAGTAATTACCTGTATAATCTCGAGATCTTGCTGCATCTCTTGGTGAAATCTTTCATTGCTTTCTCAAGATCACCATTCGTCATGTATCCACGAGTTAATTCCAGACTTTTGAGCAAACGAAACACACAGTTATCATCATTACACAGATAGTAATAACATCCCAGTAACAGCTTGAAACACCCAAACGACATTACCTCGGTCGTGGCTCTTCTCGCGAAATCAATTGCCTCGCAGTACTATGAAAACTAGAGTTTCCATCACCTAAAAATCAATACACAAATCCCAGATTAATTCAAATTATGCAGCAGGAAATGTAAATGAACATTGAGGATGAAAAACGGCGGCGGACCTGGCCGGATATAGTCGGAGTGGCCGCCTCTTGCGGCGATTAGGGGAATGAAAAAGCAGATCGCCGTCGAAAATAGGAGACTTTGGAAGAATCTGAGCTTACCCATATCTAAAAAAACAGCAGATCTGTCTCTATCTCTCTTTATCCCTCTCACTTCCTTTCCGATTGATTCGTTAAAGCAGTGCCAGATTTTCGGAGCTCCGCCATTGCCGGAAATAGGAAAAAACACCGGAGGGAAGAAGGAAAGGACATTAAGCCGTTGACCCTGAAGGTTGAAGCAAAGGTAACCAAAACTTGGGCTTTAGATGGTTAAAAATGTTCGGTTATGGGTCAATAATGGGCCCAATTTAAAAAGACTATTTCAGCCCATTGATATTCAAATTCTGTAGTCTTCTTCTACACTGCTATTAACAATCTTGTATATCACGGTACTAAATCTACAAGTTTGCTAAAGTTAATCACATAAATCAATTTTCTCCTACAGCATCTGTTTCTCCCTTAGATTGTTATGATAGAACATTGAAAAGCAACACTCTTATTTATTAGATAGACAAACGTCACAAACCACCACAAGTTAAGATGAAGCAATGCTTTTATTTATCAGATAGTCTTAAGCACTCAACACACAAACCACCACAAGTGCGTGAACTTAGAAAAACAAAGTTAAACAAACGAAAAGTCAAGATTTAGGGTTTATTTAGAATTTTTTAGATCATGGAAAGAGCTTCCTCGAGTATGCCTTCTTCCAAAACGGACATGAAACTTGCGGTGTTTCTAGCCGAACAGTTGGAACGGATCTCTCCTTGTGACCCCGTCAAGACACTCATCTGACCCATCTTGATCATCCCCACCGTGAAATGTTCAAAAAACAGCTTCTGATCAACCGCATAGCTCTCAACAATGCCACGTGTCCTCTTGTCCACGAACAGGTCCTGGTCGGAAGTGAACAGCCCCTGTCTGTTCATGAGATCAACATAGTACTTGTTGTCGAACAAGTCGGGGCTCCTTATGTCGTTCACCTGCGTGTTGCTCGAGTTTGCGGTGGGGCACGTGCGTTTGAGGTTGTTGGCGAAGAACTTGTTCATGGTTGGGTCTTGGTTCGGGTAGAGTCGGTCTGTGAACGACGGGCAATGCGCAACTCCGATGGTGTGAGCACCGGAAAGTGCAACTAAGTCGTTGATGTCGAGGTTTCTATTGGCGAAATCAGTGATGAGCTGGCTCGCATTGGCGAATGGTGGCGGTAAGTTAGCTAACGTCGTGTCCTGGCTCGCGAACGCCAGTGAATCGCGTCGACCAAGCGGCACAGCATAGTCTGGCCCTCCTGACTACATTGGTAAAGAGAAAATGTCAATTTATAATATACTATATCGTATTACTTTATACTACTAAGATTTCTATATATTTTATGATTTATCTATATGAAAATGTGTGTAACAAAATTAAAAAGAGAAACATAAATAGAGTTTTGATTGGAGAGAGAGAGAGAGAGAGATGGTTACGAGGACGACGGAGTCACGGGCGGCTAGAGCGAGGATGTCAGAGCAGGAGACGACTTGACCACACTGCTTGTGAACGAGGGCACGAAGGTTATTGATGACGACAAAGGCGGCTTGACGAAGTGTCAGATTCGGGATCGATGATTGTTCTCCTGGTCCACTCGTTGATCCAGCTAGCAGCACCGATCCTTCACATCCCTGTTTTTTAAAAAATAATTTAAATTTCTATTAGCTCTCATAACAAAAGCGATAAATGAAAGAAAAAAAAAATCAAGATTTGCTTAGGAAGATTATTTGTCCGATCAAATAAGACCACATTTCAATAAAAAAGTGAGGAATATATGATATTTTAGTATATTAAATAGGATACATAAATAAGACCACATTTTATAGATATTTTGATATGATCTCCCCACTCTCTCTTTATCAGTTTATTGATGTTCATTAAAAGAGATCCAACTAACCCACAAAAAGCGGGTGAATAGTATTTAATGCGACACGACCTACTATATATTCAAGTCTATCCTAGTGAATACAATTCGATAATCTTCTAGGGACTCATAATTAGTGGTTTATATAGTAGTATTAGTGTTGGATGTATTACACTTTACACTTAAGAAAAAAAAAGCTTTTTGCCCAAAAAACAAAAGAAAGAAAAGAAAAGCTTTCTTTTAAAAAAGAAGAGCAGGAAAAAGCAGACAACCTTATTTCTTGTTAGTGAGAATTTCGAGGCGATGTTATGATTTTCTTTAGGCTATTTTTTTAGCACGTGACAACATTTTAATATACTACTAAATACTCCTAGTGTATGTAACCTGTTTATTGATTATACTAGTTTCATTTTCATCCATTTTTCGGACAAACAACGCGGTTCCTTTTCTTTTTGGTGTGTGTTGTCAAGTGTATATTAGTATTATTTTTTTGACCAAAAGTATTTATCAAGTTTTACCCAAAAAAAAAAGTGTTTATCAAGAGTGTCATTTATCAAGTGTATTTATCTTTTAAGTCTGTGCATATGGTTTCTTATCTTGTACTAAATAAAAAAATGTGTTAATCACATACGTAAAATCGTCCAGAGTAGGCTTAAATAACATCAGATTTTGGTTTCTTAAAAGAGACCACAAAAAAAAAGAGAAATTAAAAGAGAAGAGAAGAGGGAATTTAAGATGATAAACCTGAACGAAGCAGTCATGGAAATGTATACGAAGGATGGCTGCGGCTAAACCAATGTCCCTCTTGAAGACTTTCTTGAGCTCTTTCCTGATAATGTTTTCCACTTTCGGGCATGCTTTCTGGTAAAAGCTCCATGAGAGACCTCTCACTATAGGAACATCTCTCCTCGGCTTCTTCTTGTTCTGTGCCTCTACCGTGGACAGAAGGTTCAGTGCCACCGCCATTAACGAGATCAACATCAGAAACGTGAGAACACGTGTTGAATAAGCCTTAGCCATATTGTTTTCTCTCTTGTTGGTTAAAAAGCTTTTCTATTTCTCTGCTTCTTGTTGTTCTTGGAATATAGAAGGACTTCGGTTTTATAGGCAAATGTGGTCCTGTTGTGTTGTTTTGTTAATTAATATTTTCAAATAGGAAAAACGGAATATTACAATCTTATTTCTATTTACATTTATATTAGAAAGGCTTTTACTTTTTTCAAAAAGAAAAATATGTGGAAAAGCGTTTGGTACAAATGTACAATGGTACTACGTAGGAACGGGGATATTGTTCACGGGGTTATTGTTCACCGCGTAGCAACATTACTTTCATATGACAACAAAACAATAGATTTTACAATTTTCGGATGAAGTAAGATTAGAGATTTATCAAAATAAAGATCAAAGTAGATAGATATGTTCGAACCGCGTATTTAATTTCTTAATTCTACTTACATACAAGTTTGTGATATTATTGGTCCAGTACTTAATTAGTAATATTCAAGAATTTTTCTAGTAAATCAAATTAAACTATTGACAACGTTTAAACTTTAATTATACTACTTAATTAGTCACGTGAAAATTGTTAAGTTGAGACCAAAAATATGAGGTAAGCCCTGTGATTGGTAAACTTTGTGGAATGGTGGAATGGTGGAATGGTGGAAAAATGCATTTCTGTAAGAATTTTGCTAATCAGAAAAACTTGCGGAAAAATACTAAAACTCGAGTTCTGCGGAATGGCGGAAATACTTACAAAAAATACCAAGAAAATTTAATTAAGTAGAAAAGTGTGTTTCAAGTAGCTTATTTACGGAATTAATATTTTATATCATTCAATTATATAACTAATTATATTTTATTATTTAAATAAATATAAATAAATATATTTATACTACATATATTTATATAATGATCAGATTATATATGTAGATTAAATATTACAATATAATTATATATTTTATAGTAAATAAAAACTAAAAATAAAATAAATAATTACAATCAAAGTTTTAGTTTTTTCTAATTATATTAAAATTATGTTTTTATAATAATTAATATTTTAATTTTATTATACTAAATTATATATAAAATATATTATTATGAAAAAATAATTTTATGTATTTTCTGCCATTCCACCATTACGTCGTTCTACGTAATTTATCCAATTATATCAAAATTAATTATTTCACTATTCTGCATTCCGTCATTCCACAGTTTAATTTATTCCGCCATTCTGCAGTTTTATTGTGTTACGATTTATGTATTGGTTTGGCACAAGGGTTTAACTTTTAGTTTTGCTTTCTACCTAAATTCAAAAACAATGAAACACTTGATGTAAAACATATTTTGATTGATAAATTCACATACATTCAAAAACACTTAACCAGTTAGAAGGGTATAATCTCAGTGCAAAGCGCGGAACCTGAAGTCGAATCCTACGTGCTATGTTTAGAGAAAGATTAATTAGTTCTTGTGGTCCTTTCATAAGTGTTTATCAATGACTAGTACTTATGCACCTATGAGGATCATTCAAATATTTGAAATTATCAAATTTTGTTTGTTTGTTAACATTCGAAATTATATGATCATGAAAACAATCGCATATGTGTCATAATAATGATATATAAACTTGTTTTGCATGCGTTAGTTGTGCTCAATTAATTTAGAAATTAAAATGCATGTAGTTTTGAAGTATTCGAGTTAGTGGCATGCGATTTGGACAAGAGAAAATAGTGACCCATAGATTACGTGCAACAACAGACTTAGATAGAATCCAAAAGGCAACATATAATATGACCGACATATAATATCATCACTCATCTTATTTTGTTAATGTGTAATAAACACAGTCAGTCTACTCGTAGAAACTAAAAAAATGGGTTTACTGATAATTCTTTTTCCTAACTAGCGACAAACAAATATATCACGAAACTAATCTATATAAATTTGAACCAAAGTTGGGTTTCACTTAATAACAAGGTTATATTGGTGTGAGAGGACCAAAAAAATACATACTTGATCCATTTTAGAAAAGAAAGTAAGCGTTCGAGGTGGGTTTTTCGAAGAAACACTCATGACAGTGGAAGAATCTCTCAAGACAGTCACGCGCGCCTTGTATTGGCATATTCGTTGGGTCAGTGTATATGGTAAATGGTTTATGATTATTGTTACTTTTCAGAAATGGTTTGGTGGGACAATTTGAAATAACCAAAAAGGGTTAAAGACTTTAAAGTTTGAAAAAAATACAATGCAAAGTGAGCACATCATTGTACACCAAACAAGTATGTTTCTCAGAACCTGACATCTGTATGTGCTGGAGACTCTTTTAGGTTGTGTTCGCCACGTTCCAATGCTCTCTCTTTCCTGTTATTAATTAGATACATACGTTACACCCAGAGAATTCGACATAAATTTTGCTTATACTTGAGAAAAACTAATACGCCTCCATTAAATGTGTGTGTGAACATGTTGTGAAAATTAGGAAAATAAATTTGTTATTTTCTATAGTAAACACTAAACAGTTATTTTGTTTTTATTTGGTTTATCAAGAAAGAAAATACATATGATAAGAAGAATCACTACTGAAAATACAAGATATTTTTCAAAAGCATAGGTCCAAGCTCTCTTGGCTGCTTAATTTTTGCTAAGGACATAAGAAGGAGTAGTTGGCTTTGAACATTACATGACTTGATTTCACCCAATCCATTTAGACCATCAGTATTAGATATATCTACTACTGAAACTTTGATATATGATATACATTAATACTTGAGATTCAACCTGTAGCTAAAAGAATTATGATACCTTTAATCTTATCGAAATAAGTCTGTAGAAGAAGACGGATAACAAATATCGATGTTTATCTCGTAGTAAGATTAGGTTGGAAGAAGTAAAAAGAGGAAAGATAAGCAATTAGAATACATCACCTTACAGGTATGGTGGTTGGTAGGTGTGTGAATACTCATGCAACTTTTAGAACAAAACTTTTGAGGAAATTATTTTTTATGATTCAGTTTTATACAAAACATGAATTACAGAATTACTTGGAATTTCAAAATTACAATCATGAAAACAAAAAAAAAAATATCTTCTATAATATTTATTTAAAGATGATATTATAATAAAAAATTTCCGATGAGATGTTCCGAATTAACTTACTGTAGTTGAAGGCACCAAAAATCGATATTTTTACGATAGGCATTAAACTAATGAAGTCAACTAAATTATTCTCCATATGAATTTTGTTTCGTGAAAAAGAAAACAAAATTATGAAAAGTTTCATGAAAAAGAAAAAAAATGAAAACGAAATTTCAAATATTTGTAGCGCGTTCTATTTATTTAATGGGAAGTTTCCGAAGGTGTTGGTGCTAAACTGCAAAGTATGCAAAATATTAACTAAGACCTCTTTAGTTAGAAAAAGGATCATCATGGTCTTTGATTACATTATATAACATGCACATAAAGGATCATATGAAGTCAAAAAAGTATATTTAAAAAAACTTATAAATACTGTAACATTTAGATACTGATTTCTACCATATCCTCCAACGAAAAAGAGCCGAAAGCAAATTCTATAATTACGCAAAAGAAGACCCCTCATCATTTTATTTCCCCCAAAAAAATGCAAATTGTACAAATTAGCAGCCCACGTTCTCAATTGCAAAAGGTAATAAATAAAGTCATACAATTAAAGAGTATATGAACAAAGGAACAAGACTAGTGTTGATAAACAAAAGACGTAACGAAAGGCAAAGAAATATTTTAACCCTTTATAAAGAAACACAAGTGTAAACTATATTAAGAGTTGGTCGAAATTTGTTTTCTACGAACTCCTAACAGTACCAACACTTGAATAAACAAAGACTTTAGAACTAAAATTAGAACTTAGACCATTTGCACCCAAAACAAAGAAATTAGAACTTAAACCCGTACCTGGCTAGAACAGGCCCAATCAAATGTACTTCGGCGTTAGCTTATTAGCCTTTTAATATGAGGGTTTATAATTTATACCCCTTGATTTGCGTCTTTTGTTTATAAAAAAATTGATAGTTTAGCTGCAGAGAAAACTAATCTTCATCTCCCCAAACGAGCTCTAATTAGTGTTGCCTTTTGATTTTCCGATAATTTTTCCCAAGTTTTAGCTGTAAAATGTGTAAGAATGAGCAGACCAAAAATGCCATTCTATGATAGATGAAAGTAAAGTTACTAACCCTTTAATAGAAAATTATTACTTTTTTATAGAAAGGGTTTAACATTATTACTTTAATCTGCATTTTTGCATGAACCGCAGTGCATAATAGTAGCCGATTTGAACTTGTAACGAGTTTATTAATAAAGTGCTGACATAAGTTACATTTGTGTATGTATCCTTAGCTTACAAATGATTTCCAAAAATTCGTTTTGTATATATTATAACGAACATTAAGACTATCACGTCTGACCAAAGACGACGTATCTCAACAAATCTGTGGCAAGCTTGTTTTTTGGATACGAATCAATCTTCGTATAAGTATCTTCTAATTATGATTATAATTTTCTCTCATGTCTGCCACCATCCGCAATTAAGTCACCTAGACGATCGAATCAATATTCCAACTTGCTATGTGTTAACTGCTAAGTTATCTCACTCTTGGTGTATGTATCGAACAAAGTTTCGTTTACACTACCACATTAAAATTCAGTAAAAGCAACATAATTTTCTATAATTATAACCAACAGATTTGCAACGGTAATCAAATTGTAGCTATTTATTCGTCACAAATAATCGGCTGAAACAAATCTGAGACATATTTGTAATTATGTTTGTTTGCTGCTTTCACCGGATTCCCTTCAACCGATCATACCAGTCAACATTTTCCGGTGAGGTACCTTTGTGGGTCTGAGTCGTGGTTGTTCTTTCAAAGGGCTTTTTAGCTTACACAACTGTTGTAAATTATGATGTTTGCCAACAGTTTTGCTACAACTTGCAATATAAAAATTTTAGTTTTGATTCTATTGTTAAAATCCGTCACAGTTTTTGTTAAAAAGAGAGAGATTTTGGCAAATGTAGTAGTTTGATTATAAATTTTGTTTGTGATATATTAGTAACACTATACCCGTTTTGTTGTTTCATTACAAAATCAGGATAGCATTGCCCAAAAACAAAAAGCCCGTTTTGATGTTTTATGTTATGTAATAG